ATTTAATTTGCATTTTCCTAATGTTCCAGTGTTAAACATCTTTTCATGTGCTTATTTGCCATATGTATATGCTCTTTGAAAAACTATCTATTCACATCTTTTGTCCATTGTCTCACTGGATATTTTAGTTTTGAGTTTTTCATAAACTCTAGATAACAATGCTTTGCTGGAAATGTGATTTGTAAATATTTTTTCCCAGTCTTCAGTTTGTCCTTTTGTCTTAACAGGGTCTTTTACAGAACAAAAAAATTTGACTTTGATAAAGTCCAATAAGCTGATTTTCCCTTGTAAATCATATTTTTCGTATCAAGTCTAGGCATGCTTTGCTAGCCCTAGATTCAGCAGGTTTTCTCCTACATATTTTCAGAAAGTTTTATAGTTTTACATTTAAACCTATGAACTATTTGAGTTACTTATTATGTAGCCATGACATTTATATAGACTTTTTGTTTTGGTTTGGTTTGGGTTGGGTTGGCTTGGCTTGGCTTGGGTTGGCTTGGGTTGGGTTGGCTTGGGTTGGGTTGGGTTTTGTTCATTTGTTTGTTTGTTTGGTTTGTTGGTTGGTTGGTTTTTTGTTTTTTTTTGTTTTGGATTTGGGGGAGTTTTTTGGGTTTTTTGTTTTTTGTTTTTGTTTTTTTGCCTTTGGATATCCACTTTTTCCAGTACCATTTGTTGAAAAGACATCCATCATCTATTGAATTATTTTTCTGCACCTGTGTCAAGTTGGTTCAGCATATTTGTATAGATTCATTTCTGTATTCTCTATTCTGTTCCATTAGTACACAAGTACCATAAAATCATGATCAGTGGTCCTAGATAAAGTTTGAAATAAGGTATGCTGCTATCTCTCACTTTAGTCTTACTTTTGAAAATGATTTTAACTATTTTACTTCCTTTGCCTTTTAATATCGATTTTAGAGCCTGTCTGTCAAAATTCCAGTAAGCCTTGCTAGAATCAAAACCAAATATATTTTTCTTAGAAGTATATACCATTATTAATTTCAGCAATCCAGTTAGTACATGATCCATGGACACAGAACAAAAAATGTTTATTCTGCTACTGTTGCAACCAGTATTATAAAAATGTAGTCTAGGTCCTTATGGCTAATGTGTCATTGGGGATCATTTGTGTATTTGTTTTTCATGTGTTATAGTACTGGCGACTGAATCCAGAGCCTTTGTACTGTGTTACATCCCCAGACACCCTCCACCTTTTTAAATTCTGAGATAGGGATGATCTCACTAATTTACTAAATTGCTTAGGCTAAAAAGGAAGTGTGATTTTCCTGCCTCAGCTTCCCAGAGCTCTAGAAATACAGGCATATATCACCATACCCAGCTTCTGTTTAGTTTTTTAACAACTATTAAAAACAGGAACGTTAGTCTATTATTTTGGATTTGAACATTTCTGTTTTCAGTATTCACATATCTTATAGCTATACTAGTTGGTAAAATACATTTAGAGTATTTTGACTTCTTGATGACTAGATCCTTTGATCATATTATAAAGTCTCTCAGGCTTTGGGTAATTTTTTTGGCTCTGAAGTGTAGTTTATCTGACATTAATATAATCATTCCTAATTTCTCTTGACTAATATGTGTGTGATATATTTTTCATACTTTTTGCCTACATTTTCATTATCTATTTATAATTTCTAGTTTGATTATATTTGGAGATGAACTTCTTATAGATTACACATAAATCATGTTTTTAATCCACCTGTCTAATCTCTGTCTTTCAATTGTTTATTTAGACCATTTACACTTAATGTAGTTTCTATTACAATGGCTTCAAGTCTGATATATGTTTTTGTTGTTTCTGTATTTACTTTCATCTAATTTCCTATGAATTACCTAACATTCTTGAAAATGTTATTTTTATCTACAGTATTTCATTTGGGTTTTATTTTGCAGTAGGGCACTGAATCTAGTTTTGTTTTGAAGTAGGGGGTTGAATGCCTACTTAAGGTTCTAGTAGGGAATAGAACTTCAAGAGATAAATTATTTTTTATTTTCCTTTATCTAAGAATATCTTAATTGATTTCTCCTTAGTTTTTGAGGGATAATTTTGGACACAGAATTCTGAACAGATAGTTATTTTCAACACTTGAGAAATGCTGTGTCAATTACTTCTGACCTGCATGATTTCTAATGACAAACTGTTTTGTATTCAAACTGTTTTCACATAGATAACACTGTTTTTCTCTCCCTACTTTCATAAATTTTACTGTAATTTTCAAAAGTGTAATGTATGTTTGGGTATAAATTTTTTAGAGTTTAGATTCACTCAGCTTTTTAAATCAGTAGGTCTATGTCTCACGCCAAATTTGAGACGTTTTTAGCCATAATTTCTTTCAGTATTTTTTCAGTCATGCCTTCTTTTCTTCTTTCTTCTCGTTTTGTTGTAGCTCATAGGTCTCTCAGAGTAATTTTTCTCAGTCTAGTGTCTGTTTTTCACCCTGGATAAGCTATGGTGTTCTATCTTCAAGTTCATTGATTATACCCTCTAGCTTTCCCACTCAGTCTTGGAATCCATCTAGTTTTTATTTTGGTTACTGTATTTTTCAGCTTGAATTCTTTCTTTTGGTTCTACTGACACTTTCTACTAACTTGTTCATATTTTATATTTTTTGTTTCAAATATGTTTATAACTGCTTGTTTAAGCATTCTAAGTAATGCTCTAAATCTTTGCTCAGTAATTTTAGCCTCTCTCTCTCTCTCTCTCTCTCTCTCTCTCTCTCTCTCTCTCTCCCCCTTTCTGTTGTACTAGGTATTGAACTTAGGACCCTGTGCATGCTAGGCAAGTGCTCCACCTACTGACTAACATCCCCAGCCTGATATTCTTTTCTTCTTTCAAGTTAAGTTGTTCTTGGTTCTTGTTTTTTCTACTGTACCTTGGCCATGTTGAGTATTATACAAGTATAAATCTTATTTACTGGCTTTCTTTGATACTACTCTAACAAAGGGATGGAGAGGCTGCATTACCTCTGCCAGGCAGGAGTAGAGGTTCAAGTTTCACATTCTCTATTGGGACCAATAGTGGGGGCTGCTTGGTTACTGCTGGGTAGAAATAGGAATTCTGGTTCACCACCAGGCTTCACTGACACCATGCTGCTTCCAAGGAACAGGAATATTTTGTTATTGTTCTATATATGGTCTTCAGTGACACTACAAAGAGTGTAGAAAGGATGGCCTTTTTGCTGCTGGCCAGTGCTGAAAATCTGGACTCTCCACTGACACCACTCCTCTTTAAATCAGGTAACTGAAGCACCAAAAAAAAGTACACAAAGGAAAAAATGAGTATTTCTGAGAAGAACAGAATTCACTGTTTCAGTAGTCATTATTTACTTGACACGCATCCATCACCCACCTGTAGTTCCACTGGAGTCCTTTAAAATGTTTTTCTTCTTGTGAGCCACTCCTCTGTAATACAGTAGGACTTCTAATATAATTTCCCATATCAGCCTCTGTCCACGTCAAGTACCTCAACCATACTATAATACATTAAGCCCATTCTTAAGAGGACTGAGGCCTTCTCTTTACTAAGATTCCTCCTAATAGGCTCTTTTAATGGAATCCCTGGTTCCTTTTTCAATTAGATTGGGAGAAATATAACGATAAATACTCAGTTTGAAATGGCCCAGACAGTCCACTTCATTTTCTTTAGTAACTAGTGAAAGATGTGAGTCTTAATTCACAATATTTGTAATACTTTGCCCACAAACACAGTCAAAAACGACACTGGAGACTCTGCTCATATGTCTTTGTTTCCTTTAGCGATAGCATTCCTCAAATCACAGCCAGGCATGTATTGTGGAGCTAAAACTATTTTAAAGACATAATGTCAGCAGTAGTATTCTGTGTTCTAACAAGAGATTTGGAGCCACAGCCAAGAACAGTAATAGAATCTTCTTCCCTCTGTCATTCCCATTGTTATTCTCAAAAAGACTTTCCCTTCTTCCCCTCCCACCTCGCCTTCTTTCTCTCATGTTGCCTTTTTTCTTTGAATGTCCCCACCAAAGTCTACAAAACGGACAAAATATCTTAAACTTAAATATAACCCTAACTAGCTTTGCTTCCTATGGGGGCTATATCAAAGCCAACAAATAGACTCTCCTGGGCATAATTCCAAGCTAGTCTTCGGGGTGAGACTGCCTGGGTGAAAACCCAGTTCTGCCTTGCATTAGCTGTAGGACACTGTGCCAATTCTTTAGCTTTGCTAGAGCTAGAAGGCCTTCTATATAAAACAAAACTTTTGTTGATATTTGTCTACCTGATGCGGTTGTTCATGGGACAAAAATGCACACAAAGGCTATCCCACAGTAAGAGGCACTTCTAAATCTCTCTAACTGGAAAAGGTCCAGAAAATACATTTTTGTGTAAGTACAGCATGCTAACCGATTGTGCCACTGGAGCGCCAGGAAACACACTTTTTACATGCTTCAAAAGAACTATTTCTACTGAACATATTATAGAATTCTTACAAACTAAATTTCTTAATAGTAATAACACTGTCAGGATATAAGTTGACTTTTACTGTATTTCAAACTAAGGCCAAACGAGGGAAGGTGAGTTTTTCATATAAAATACCTGGCCTGTTATTTCCATACTATATTACTACAGTCTTTTTAAGGAAAGGCTAGTCTATCTTCCACTAATGTTCTCTGAACTTGTTTTTGGAATATCCTCAATGTCCTGGGTTTTGTTTGTTTTTTTCTTTTTCCTTTTTATCGGTACCGGGGATCGAACTCACGACTGCCTGCTTGCAAGGCAGGCGCTAATGCCGTTGGGCTAAATCCCCAGCCTGTTTTGAAAAGAAGTCACATTCTCCCAAACAGAAATTGAAAATTCAAATAAAATACAAAGAAGTTCAGTAACACTGCGGGGTTTTTCCGTCACACCGCATCGCAGTCACTGAAAAAGACATATAAACGAAATTACACAAGGGCGCGCACACGCACTTGCCCACAAGCAGCATCAGTCTCCTCGGGTTCACCTACTTCCATCCTAACGTCGTAGTCGGGGCCCAGGACGCTCTCTATGAGCTCTCTGATGATCTGGTCGGAGGCCAGCTGGTCCTCGGACTGCACCGAGGCGATGATCTCCTGGATGGACTTGGGCACCGCGCGCGTGCGCAGCCCCGCCTGCGCCTCGCTGGCCGCGCCGCCCTCGCGCGCCGCCCTGGAGCCCGGCCCGATCCCGATCCCGATCCCGGCCTGCCCCGCGCCCGAGCCACGGGGCGCGAAGCCCGCGCGGAGCCTCACTCTCCGCCCGCCGGCCGCCTCCGCGTCGCTCTCCTCGCTAGAGACGCGGCTGGCCTTCTTGGCTTTGGCCTTGTGGCCCTCGGGGACCAGCTGCGCCCCCTGGCTCGTCCTCCGCCCGCGGGCCCAGTCCAGAACCGGCCCTGCGGGCCGAGGGCTCCCGGGACCCGGGCGCGCTCTTGGCTTCACCGGCGACGTAGACGGCGGCAGCAGCACCACGGGCCGAGACGTGCCGGCCTGTGAGGCGATGGCGGGTGGCTTCTTCGGGGACCGGTGCCGTAGGAACGCGGAGCTGCGCAAGTAAAAGTCTTGGGGGCAGAACGACCCTGTCCTCACGGTGGCGGCCGGCGGGCGCCCGACGCCTCGGAGCGCCCCCTGTAGGCGCGCGGTGGCGGAGGTCGCGGGGCCCTCAGTCAGAGCGGACCCTGAGAGCCCTCTGCGAGCAGCAGACTGCACGCGCCTCATCTCCGTAGGGCACACCAGGTCGGAGCCCTGCAGAGAGTGGTCCGAGCTGTCCACTGGAGCCGGCCTGTAGGCCAGCTTCTGCTTGAATTGAAAGAAATCCCTTTTCGTCTCTTGGCGAACTTTTTCAAGCTCTTTAAACATGTAAGACTCTTCTCTGGCTTTCAGGCCAAAGTGCTTCGGGATCATGGACATTTTGACAAATTTGACCTGAAAGATACAATATACATCAATATATGTACATATGTAGTTGTTGATAAATAAAACCCCAGCTCAGCAAAGCTTCTCATAATAGAGCCTTGCTGTGCGCAAGTGGGTAAAATCAATAAATAATTGTATATCCATCTGCCTTTTTACATAAATTACGAAAATCCTACAAATCAGTAATCACTTCCGCCACTGGGAATTTTGCAAACCCTTATTCGATTTATTTTAACATTTATTTAGACTATGATGTATCCCCCTTTAAGGCAAGAATGATCTCACTAGGCATAACCAGGGGAAACAGGCAGAGGCAGGGAAAATCTAAAGGGGCCCTGCTGGGATACAAGATCCAAGTATGAAAGTCATTAGCATTTGTGTACATCAACAAGGAACTCCATGAGAAGAAAACTATAAAGACAATACCATTCACAGTAGCTTTGAGAAAAATGAAATACCTAGGAATTAACCTAAGCAAGGAAATGAAAGACCTCTACAAAGAAAATTACAATACTCTGAAAATGATTAAAGAAGACATCAGAAAATGGAAAGATTTGGAGAGGCAGAAGGACTATTGTGAAAATGGCCACTCCAGCAAAACTCTTACAACAGATTCAGTGCAGTCCCAATCAAAACACCAACAACATACTTACAGAGCTGGAAAAAACAATTCTAAAATTCATATGGAATCAGAAGAGATCCAGAAAAGCTAAAGCAACTTGGGGCAGTGAGCAAAAGGAGGCCTTGAAACACTTAAATACAAGCTATTTTACAAAACAATAGAATAAAACAGCATGGCACTAGAACAAAACCTGATATGTGGATCAATGAAACAAAATAGATGATACAAAAACATCTCCAGACACATCTGTGTAAAAAATCATATGTGGGAGAAAAGATAGTATATTCAACAAGCAGTGCTTGTAAAACCAGTTATCTGTTTGCAGAAGACTGACACTGGACCCTTATCTCTCACCATACACTTACTAAAATCAGGTGGATCAAAGATCTAAACTTCAAACTGACTGGAAGATAAAATAGGTAAAACACTTGAAGACATAGGGGTACTAAAAGATTTATTAAACAGAACGTCAATTGCACAAGAAACAACATCAAGCATAAGTAAATGGGATTATATTAGATTAAAAACCTCTGTAGCAAAAGAATCAATCAGCAACATAAGAAATTTGTTGTTGCTGCCTCTATCAGTTTGCTTTTGTCTTTTTTTTTTTTTTTTTTGTACCAAGGATTGAACTCATGATCTCACACTTGCCAGTAGAGCATTTGTGCCACTGAGCTATACCCCTAAACTCCTGGCCCTTGTCATTGTTTCTGAGGTTTGTTTGTATCTTGATTTTTCTTCCCTTTAAAATAAAAAAAAAATGGTATACAAACAGAAGAAACTTTTCAAGGGAAGGGACAAACTGTAATGGGGGAAAGGAAGAATGGATAAAGGGAAAAAATATATACAGGATAATTAAGGATAATCATACAGCTAAATTCTGTTACATCATGCTACAGTAACATATGTGCACCCAGGTTATGGCAGTACAATTTGTAATAGCTGGGTCTCGGAGACAACCCAAATGCCCATCAACCACGGAATGGATAAAAAAATGATGTGGTAGATGTATACAATGGAATATTGCTTAGCTATAAAGAAGAATAATCTTGAGGCTTTTATAGGTAAATGGAGGCAAACTGAGACTACTCATAAATAAATCAGACTCACATTAGTAAATATTGTTTCCCTAGTGTAAAAAGAAAAAACTGAAGGAGTAACAGAATCCAAAATGAACAGTAGGGGGCTGGGGATTTAGCTCAGCAGCATAAGCGCCTGCATTGCAAGCAGGCAGTCGTGAGTTCGATCCCTGGTACCGATAAAAATAAAAAAGACAAAAAAAAAAAAAAAAAGAACAGTAGATATTGTGATAATGAAAGTGCTCAAAAGGAAAGAACAATTGGGCTAGGGGAAAGGAGAGAAGGAAGAAGGGGAAAGACTATATATATATATAGGTGTACATATATATACATATACAAGATAGGTAGCTATAATATGTATATACATACATATACAAGATAGGTAGCTATAATACTAATCTGTTAGTTTATCCAAAAGAACAATTTGTGCTTTCATTGTTTGATTTTGATCATTTTTGTGCCTAAATGTTGTAACCTGAACAACTGTTTCAAAGATAACAATATGCAATATATTAACATTAATTTCCTACTTTTTTAAAATTCTGTATTTTTATTTTTTCTATTTTGCTTTTTAAAATATAATTTTAAAAAAAGAAATGAACAGACTGTTCACAGAGGAAGAAATATGAACGCTCAACAAATATATAAAGAAAAGTTCAGCATCTCTGGTCATTAGAGAAATGCAAATTAAAACTACACTAACATTATTCTATCTCACTCCAGAAAGAATGGCAATCATTAAGAAATGCTAATGTGACTGTGGTATAGAAGGAACCCTTCTGCATCATTGGTGGGAATTTAGTACAACCATTTTGGAAATCAATATGGAGATTTCATAAAGAACTGAAATTATGAATTCCATATGACACAGCTATCCCCCTGCTAGGTCTCTTCCCCAAAGAGCTTAAGGAAGACTATAGCAATATATGCATACCAGTATTTATGGCAGCACAATTTCTAATAGGTAAGTAAATATATTTATTCATAAATAGTAAATAGCTATAGCCTGTATATCCATCAACAAATGATTGGATAAAGTGTGGTATCTGTATATAATGGAATAATACTTGGCTATAAAGAATGACAAAATTAAGATATTTGTAGGAAAATGGATGCACTTGAAGAATATAATGTTGAGTGAAATAAACCAGACACAAAGCAAGCTTAAATATTATAATATCTCTCATTTGATTTAAGTATTTTAAAGAAGAAGAAGAAATGGTATATTGAAGGGAACAAAGAGATGGGATTTCTTGAAATAAGCAAGTGGTCAGAAGGAACAAAGGCAAAGGTTGAAGATGAAGAGAAGGGGGAATAAGCAGAACAAAGATACTCGATGTACCAGAGCCTAATAACGCCAATGAATATGAACATTATATGCCATAACATGAGCTACGATTAACAATATCTACAAGAATGAAAATCAGCAGAGGGGAATTAGAGAAAGGAGATGGGAAGGGGATTAAAAATAAAGAAACAAGCTGTAGTGGGTACGTGTAGCTGCTCCCCAAGAGGATTGTAAACTGCATGTACTGCAAACGTGCTCATAAAAAGGAACCCTGCTAACCAAAAACTGAAGTCATCCACTGTGGCCTATATCCTAGATTCAGCCTGTAAACATGGTTTTCAGTCATTCAGACTTTGTCAGAAATAGTTGGTATCCAGCCAACAATTTAGACTAGGAAATTTTTTTAACTAAAAATCCAAATTTGCACTTCTGAGGGGTGGGGGAGATGGATGGCTCTGGCAATGCAAGAAACAAATCCCCTCTCTTCTGGCTAGATAAGCAGCCATTTTCCTGTCCTGCTCTCAGGTGTCCCCATCCTCCCCCAGCCCCCTTCGCTTCGTGTGTCACCTGACCACAGCAGCCTGTAGAAAGGGGGAAGGCAGTCAGCCTCTAGGTAGGCTGCAGCCAGAGCATTCGGCCTGAATGCCAGGTAGTTGTACTTCCTCTGTGAACTGCTGGATACCACTTGATATGTTTAACAGAAAAGAGAGTATCTAGATGTAAGAAATGTACTAAAGCTATGTGAATAATTTTTAATTTTATCAAAATAATATAAGAAAAATTCAAATAAATAAACAGTTGATGTTCTTTTCTTAGATGGTCAAATGATTTCATTATATAGGGTTTTTCTAAAACCTACCACGGGCTAGACCTTGGATAATTCAGTTCTGCTCATACTAAGGATTCATATTAAGAAATGAAAAAAAATAAGCCACAGGACATGAATATTGGAAATGAATTCTAAAATCCATAAGGAAGTTTGCATGCAAAAGAATAACTTTGTGTAATCCTTCTTATAGTATTTAACTGTATTGTTTGCACAGGTGGAACTGTGTTCATACAGACAACATATGCATTTTTTTCTTGTAAGAGGTTGAAAGATAGTAACTGGAACAGCTCAGACAAGAAGTATTTTAATGCCTGGTGAGAGTCTGACTTAGCTTTTCCAATCCACTGCCCTTTCTTTGTCTCAGTCCCTGTTGTGGTGTATCCTCTTCAACTTTGAATACCATAGTGTGCTACAGAAAGTTAACATAAAGTTTCTATTGTTCAACACATCTCAGTGTATTCCTATGAATTCTTAAGGAGAAAGTTGTTCCTTATATATAAAAATAAACCAATAGGAAACAGAACTTACAAACTTGACAGAAACATCTACAGTGCATTCAAGGAAGATGATAGCCCAATGCTTATTGGACCAGTCTACCAAATTTTGGTTCATTTATTCCCTCATCCACCCCTCAATACTACAAAATAAGTAAAAACAATTTTTAAATGTTTAGTCTCATAGGAAAATAGTGCATTTGCTTAAGACATACTTAGAGAGATACTCAAGGAAAAACAAGGTAGTTGCCTTAAAAGGACAGAGTATTACTTTACATGATTCAAATCTGCTAATAGTCCAAGTTGATTAACTCTAAAATGGTACCAGAATATGCTTAAAATTTTTGGAACATGAGAAATAATTTTCTTCTCTTTTCCCTTCCTCTTCTATTAGGATATTCAACACCACAAAATAAAATTTGAAAATGGAAATGAAGCTTTTGTAAATAAGGAGAGGAACAGGGGTTGAAGGAAGGGGAAGGGAGTGGGGAAAAAAGAAGAATCAAAATATATCACATACAGGTACAAATTCTCTATGATGAACATGATCGTAATATATATATCTAAAATATACCAACAAACTTAATTAATTTAAAAAAGCAAAAAATGCAGTCAGAATTACAAGTTAAATTAGCACAGGTGACAAAATTTCAACAGAATGTATTTCATTATTCTGGCCAGAAGATTAAAGGAAAGA